TTTGTGGAAATTCAACAAGCTTATCTTCTTTTCTATGCTTGCTTTCCATCCGCATGGCTTCTGTCGCTTCGACATGTCTTCATAACACTGTTGTGCTACCTGGAGCTCCCTTGCAATATCAGCCATTGACTTGGGTGGATTCTATGTGGCATATTTACCCGCCGCTTGGTTTACTGCTCCCAGTATGAGCGGGTCCATGCTCTCCGATGTTATTTTCCGCGTCCAGTTTGACTGGTTTATCTCACGTCCCTGCGTCTCTTGCATCAGCACTAGATATTTTTCCTTTACATCTAGATAAACCTTAAACTCGTGTAGCGTATTTTGTAAATTGACATGTTTTGTGGACTCCTCAAAGAACCGTTTCTGTGAGCACGCACGACCTGCAATACTGATGATCACAGAATTCGCTTGCTTCTTCAGTTCTTCGAGGGTGAAAACACACGAAAACTTCTCGCTATGCAGGGAACAAAAGAAGGATCATTCCCCTCTCAGCATTCTTCCAAAAAGGTCAAAAACCGTTTTCAACACCTCTCCTGACACCTGCTTTGCGAAACTTCGATTCTTGGTTCCAACGAGTGCTTCAAACGTGATTATTCTGCTGATTCCTGGTTCCGGTAACTGCTCTCTCATATCCATCACAAATTAGCGAAGACTAGCATAGCAGAACTGATCGCGGGGCGAGTGCAGCGAGAATACCAGTATGATCCAGCACCAAAACCCATAATGCAAAAAATAAGACTAGCCTCCATGTAGTACTGACTTGATATAAATATATAAAATTCAAATTACTTCAACATATTCTCTTTCTAAGATAATATAAATGCCTCAAAACCAAGAAAAAAGTATGTTGAAAAGAGTTAATGGAGTTATTAAGATAAAATTAGAAACTGCATCTATAAAAAGCAAGACATGTATCGCTTTGAAAAGAAAGAATCCGTAGCTAGTAAGCTTCTAGGAAATGCTTTATATAATGAGGTAAGTTTTTAGCACATATGTAATTTAAGCTAATATTTTTAAATTGACGTTAACATATGATTTTTTGTTTAAATTGCAATTTGTTCACGATTGAAAAAAAAAACATATCTTCGACCAAAATATTTAATGTAAGAAAAGCTTCAAAACCTTCGCCATTCGTTGAAATATTCTGCTGTTCTGCTTGAGGTCGAATTTCATCCTGTAGCTTTTTCTTTACATGCTCTCCATGATATGCGACCTAAACAGCATTCCTTAAATTCCAAAATTCTGTGGAAGAACCTGGTTGCATGCATTTTAAACTCAAGAACTGTATTTTAAACACAAACCTGTGACTGAATTTTAGTATTTTGAAGATGACGTGTTAGTTCAGGATCATCAGCCACCTGAATTCTCTGCCCTTTGGATTTCTCGAACTGTTCATGATATTTCACCTTAATACTGGTGCGCATAAGAACCGTTTTTTAATTATTAAAGTTAATTTCAAGTACGCATCCTATTACAACCACATGAAAGCAAATAAAGGATTTTACATAACGACAATTTATTTTACAAATATTATGTTTTAATTTTTAATTCTATATTTCCATGGCCTTGAAAAACGAAGGAAAGAACAGAATACGCATAGATCGTTTGGAAACTGCTTTGAAATCTTATATACAATAAAGTAGAACAGATCAATTAGTAATACGTTATTAAATGCAGCACATAAACAACAAAGCAAACAGAAGTAAGAACTACTTGACTCTGCAGTCTTGTATTCTCAGTTAAACGTCTCATCTCTGGTGTGTCAACCACTACCGACGCGACAGTTTTCGGATAATGACTGAAATGGTAGCAAACCTGGGAAGATAAAGCTAAAAAAGCTGCAAAGCCGGAAAATTGATGAAAAATGAAAATTAATGCTTACGGTTCACAATAAGGCATCTTATCATATCCTTTATAATTCTTCATGTTCAAAATCATGCCGCATACTGTGCACCTGAAGCACCCTTTGTGCCAGATCTAAAATCACTCCTGAATATTGTACAAGCTTTAGTGCTCGAAAGATTCGATCATGAACAAATATTTAATTTAGTGAAGGTTTTATGGAAAATAATGATTGGGTTATCATTTCACAATCATAAATACTCCTCAATAGACCGTTCAAAAGTCGGTGTCTTAACCATCCAAAGTGACGCTTATAATGATTTGAAATCATTTGGTTCTATTTAAAATTCAAGAATCTGCGTGTGCAGAAAATTATCGACAAGAACTGTTCAAAAAAGTAGTCAATTGTCAACTAAAACATGTACATACATAAACTGCATCTTTGTGCTGGAAAATTAACTGAAATAATGCTAGAAATAAAACAAAGTTTATGCATACCTTATCAAGGCACTTCAATTCTTCAAGAGGATAAACAGTTTTACCGCACTCTTGTCGAGCACACTTCTTACTCATCTCTTCAAACAAACAGTGTAGTGTGACTGCTTATCGTTTTTGTAAATTAGTAAACTATAAAATTTTTAATGGAAAAATCTTTACTCGTAGCAATGCAAAAGTCTGAAATATTGCACAAGTACTAATGAGAACATGCATTCACTGATGCTGGTATAGAATCCAGCATAAGCACTGTCATGATCAAATGAAGTTTTGTGAAAATGATTCGCGCAACAAAGTTACAAAATTATTTCATACTTTACATAAAAGTCACAAGATTGCCATATCAAAATTAAAAATTGATACAATGTAAAAAAAATGAAATTGGGGTAGTGAAGAAAAAAATAAAGGTGCAAAAAATTTTTAAACTAAAAAACTCTAGATAAGATAAGAAAATCTGTAAACGGAAACTGAACAAAGATCAAAACAATGGACATAAGGCACAATCAATAAGTTGATGCAAAAGATTCTAGATTTCGAGAAATAAATGGTTACCTATTTCAATAATACCAACATTAAGCTGTGTTTATAGAAATCTATTGTTTAAAGGAAGAAAATTAAACCTCAATACGTCAATTGTAAAAAAATACATGCGATCATGAAGTGAAAACAACAGATACGCGGCAAATTTTGTTTGAACGTTCAAATGCATGGTCCGTTAAATTTATCATGCAACATAAAATGAATTTCCCAACTATTCTACCCCCAAAAAAAGTCAGGAAGAATATTGACGAAAACTTCGGGTAAGTTGTAGAGTTCTTCGGTTTAATCCAAGAAAATTCAGTTTTTATTGTAAAACCGGCTGGTTCCAGTGAGAGTAATATTTTAAATATTTGGATACATCTGCGAAAATATGATAAAAGCAGCTAAAAAAACAATTACTCACAGTGTTAACAACTATAAATGAAAAAAGTAAAAGATATTATCACTAAAACTCAAATCTCTTTTGCATTATGATACTACTTGAGAAATGGTCAACAAGCCAAATAGTTTGTGGACAGAAGCTTAAAATTATTAGAAAATGTTCCGGATATCATTGCCATATGGGTTACTTTCGGAATGCCGTCTTTTTATGGTGCTATTTCAGTTTTCTTGAGCACCTCTCAGAAATCAAATAACAATCAATAAGCTTAAAAACTTATTAATTTCGCTATCTCAGATTTCAAAACATGACATATATGCAAAATGATTGTACAAGCATATAGATTCCTTGAAATTTTGTTCTAAATATCTTTATAGACTCTCCAGTTCCAGGTTGCAATTTTAATCCATTATTTTCAAAACCATGAATTGGCGTCATCATTTCGCACTACTTTGCATGAACGGTTAAAGTCCGAATATTGATAGTGATCTTATACAGTAACGAGAAACAGAATGTACGGAAATCGACACAATAACTTCACTTTCAGTATTTTTCAACAAACTGTGATAGATATACTGCCAGGTAGCCCTTACTGATAAGTTTACGACGACAATTTCAACGCTCGGTTCCTTACAATACAATACTGAAGATAAGAGAATGATTTGGAAAACGTGAAAGTGACAGATAACAATCTATGTGTCATGCCGCTGTTTACTTGCAATGTAAGTGAAAGTGAAAGTGAAAGTAGAGGTTAAAGCAAGCAATGATATGTAGTCATATTGTACACGAGCAGTTCCCACGGGGGAAGAAGTGAAGTGAGATGGATGTCTCGAACTGTCACTGTCATCTAACAGAAATAGGCTGCTTTTTGTTGCTGGCTCGTGTGAAAGGAATGAAACACTGGAAAATGCTCGTAAACACTTGCAATTTGTTCAGAAACATAATAAGCAGCAGTGTGAAGATAACTTGAGAACTGTCGAGAGTGGTGTGAAAATAGATCCTTCCACATGCAAAAAGTATAGAATGACAAACTTCGCAGAAATACAATGAATGCATGGGTGGAGTCAAGAAGCGTTAATACTCGAAAAATTTCCGAATGCTATGCGACTTGCAACACTTGATCTTACTTATACTTAGCACACGCCTATCGATTCAATTTCTCTAATTCAGAAATGCGTACTGAGCAATTGAGGTACAACACTTTGATTCATAATCATTTAATCAATAACAAAATTGACAATAAATACTCTGATTTTCAAGTAGTCACTGGGTAATATTGATTAGTACGGAATTTCGGTCAAAGATATGATAGTAATTTGATCGCAAGATGGACGTTTAATTGGTCCGAAGTGACATCACAATGGTCAAAAGGTGTTTTGGAAGAGAGCAAAGAGCGAATTTAATTCACAGCGTAAAAGAATGGGAAAGGTATGGCAAACTGATAGTGCTTACAATGAATGAATGTAATAAGCTAGAGCTTTCTGTTCTGACTGACTCTTACTAAAAGCAGAAGAAAGTCTCTTGGAAGTGACCACTTTTTTCTTTTCATTTTTCATTTTTCATTTTGGACCAAATATTTATGATTACGATTATGAGAAACTGAAAATCCACGAACAATAATATGAATCGACCACTCTGAACCTGAAAAAGATTCCGTAGTAATTCAGTGAAATCAATACGAAATTATGAGCAATCAATCCCACTATTCAATTTACCAATACATATCAGAACTAATATCAACAGTTAATCTTTTTGCAAAGGCAAACGATTATTTCAAGAAAAATCATCTGGTTAAAAAGAGCAATACTTTCATCTTCTACATACTCTATCGCGTAAATTTCCGAGGCTTAGTTTCACACGACGAGAGGATGAAACTGAGATCAAAATTTACGTAGAGTAGGATCATCAAATGGGTATACGATGTCAGCTAAAGTTCAGAGAAAAAAGGTTAATGATGTCTATCACGCTGCTGGTAATTTGGTTTTTGAAAGTATTTCTGAAGGTAAGAAGGGGTGCCAGTGAAAGCAGGCGTTCGCTGTATTGCAGCAGCTGTTGTTTACATATAAACTGTTGAGTGCTATTTTAAAATGCACCTATTTATTTTATCTGATTAAATTTTAATACTCTGCTCTGATTCATCCATCCACTAACAACAGCGTCTAGACGAAAAGGTCAGCTTCAATAACACAAAAAAGCAAAACAGGTCAAAGTTTAACAGAGCAGTGTTTATATGAAATAGATATGATTGCTGGAAATAATTCGTAGCAAGAAATACATGCTCATCGAGCACTAGCAAATGTAGTAGATAAATAATCTACTGCTGATATCAAGAATTACAATGTAGCAGACTGAAGTAATTTAACTTTAATTTAACTTCAGCTATGATGACAAGAAATGTTGAGCTAAACTGCTGCTTGGAAGTATATTAGTCGCCGAACTAGACTGCATCTCAAGCATTCAGCATGGAAGAATAGTTGTTTTTTAAACAGATTCAAATTTTCAAATTACTTAGAGAAAAACATTACTGTAATCTGTGTTAGAAAACATTATGCAAGTGACAAAGGATAAATGAACGAACACTCATAAAACGAAATCAGAAATATACGTGAATCCTTCAAAAATCCCAGCAAAAGCTTGCATTCTGTTCATGTACTTGAATATTTGTTCTGTCGATTTTGAAGATGATGCAAAGAGAGATAAGCAAATATCATTGAAGTAAAATAAACTTCGCACTGAAGTACGGAAAGCTCGTGACAATTTCGCAAACGACTACATTTTAGCTTTAAATGCAATACAAATAAACTATTTATCATATTCAGCAGTTCGGAGGTTAAACTTCTTTTCTTTGTTCTTGATTTCCGCGTTTATCGTACAACACCTGGTTATATTTTTCTTGCGCTCAATTTTGCTGTGCTGACCTCCTTCATCCTACTGAAATCCTTAGCCGTGATCGAATGATATGCTTTTGAACGTCTTCTTGAGAACTATCGACTGATAGTCAAAGACGCTCATGTGCCTTGACGTGATCACGCATCGTAGGCATTTTGATGAATCAACGATGGACGAGATTCTATTCGTCCGCATCTTGTTTAGCTTTGCACGGTGGGTTTTCTTTTCTATTTCGCTATACAAGAACGCCTTCTGGGCTGCTAATACGTTTTCAATGGTACGATTTTCTGCGAGGTTGTGCTTAGTCTTTTGATAGAGTACAATAATTGCCAAGCTCTAGCTCTCCAGCTTCAGAATCGCTGCCCTTCTGGTACGAATGGGTGCGATATCTACAAGAACATTATGTAGTTGGAGAAGCGTAAGCTCACTTCTCTGCTCAACATTGCGAACTCCACGTCCTAAGCTCATCCCTTAGCAGGAGCGATCTTTCTAAATATGTAGCTTCATAATAGATTCGTAGCTGTTTAGTAATTGTCTGATTGTGGTATATAGCTTTGAAATTTTCTGGCTCCAGCCTGGAACCTCTATGTAATATTTTATTAAACTTAGGGTATGCTCATTCACTGCCGAGATAAAGATCCGTCTCATTCTTTTGCATAGATCTGGATGCAGTTCTTAATCTTAATAAAGAAGTTATAAACCTGCGGAATCAAGTAGGTAGGTAGTCAAATATGTGGTTGCTATTTTTATTATCAAGAAATGATGTAATAAAAAGTAAATCAGATGTGCACTAGTCAATATATATAGTCCATCTGAGAACAGGAATATGAAATACCGGATGGCGGATTTTGATTAAGTCCACTTTAGATTGATTTAACACTTAAATGTTTCAAAATGAAATTTTCCCACGTATTATGAACTAATTGCAAGTATTATCTTTTCAGCAGCTTATGAATGAGAAAATGAAGTGAAATGTGTCGAATTGATATTGAAATGTTTAAATGGAATAATTTTGCTACTTGACAACCAGTTAATTAATCAAAAATTAGATAATAATGATAGTATTTTACAGCTATATTTAAATGCAAGTAGTGATAAAGGACCGGTTTGGGGAGACGAATATGGACAAAAGATAAGCAAAGAAAAACTGTAACCAAAATTAAGTGCTAAGAATATTTTTGAAAATCGAGTGAAAACATTTCTCGAGCAAATTCATTGAAATGATCTTAGTGATCGATAATCACTCCATGAAAGCTCATCGATCAGCAAG